TGTGTGTATACACACACACACACACATATATATACATACACATATTTACTAATGTCTAAGAAATAAGCAAAAAAAGAGCAATTTAAAAAGGTTTCCTGATAATCATTTTAAACATTCATACCTCTTATATTTTACCACTGACTAGTATTTTACTTTTAAAGTCTTATCACTTCCAAACAAACCTTATTGCGGTCTCTACCTTCAGTGGATAATCTATTTTAAGGCTAGCAAATTTGAACTCAAAAACACAGATAATTTGCGACCGCAAAGAAACTTAAAAAACTCAAAAAGAGATAATTTGTGGACTGCAGAGAAACGTTAAAAATGTCTGTTCTTTGATGCCTTCCAGTTGTTATCCAGAGTTTTGCAGCACTGTTGTATTACTTTTAACCTATTCAGAAGTCTCCTCATTGCACTCAAAATTGCTTACAGCATTATATAATGTTTCATATCATTCCAGTTCTTGAAATATTTTGCCCTCTAACTCTTTTCCTCTACTCATTATCAATATATGAATAGGAATTGAGCAACTTCCCCCCAAAATTGAATTATTACCTTCCTTAACAGTTGTAATAAATTGCTGATAAAACTCACATCCACCCAATAGCTCTAGAACAGGAGTGTCAAACTCGATTTCATTGAGGGCTGCATCAGGGTTGTGCTTTACCTTGGGAGGGGGGATCATGGCGGGGGGGGGGGCATAGCCAGTTTGACATCACATATGTCGGGGTGGTGACCCGAGCACTCTGCCAGCAAAAATACGTTTTTGGCTGCAACGGCCTCCTGCAATGCTTTGCCAGCGAAAAGGGAGCCCAGGAGAACTGCATGCAGTCCTCACAAGTTCCATTTTCAGCTGCAATGGTCTTCTGCAACCCTCTGCCAGCAAAAACAGAGCTTGGGAAGGCCATGTACAGCCCTCCTGAGCTCCGTTTTCATTGCCAGAGGCACCGGGGGCCAGTACTTTGCTGTTTCCAGGGTGGTCCCGCAGGCCAGATCTAAGCAGCCCGTGGGCTGGATCTTGCCCCCGGGTCTTGACACCTCTGCTCTAGAGCTTGCCCCCTTATACATTCAAGATCAAGCCTCAAAACAGGAAACACATTTATTGAAGCAAGTTACCATAAATAACTAATAGGCACACTTCTAGCAATAGGAGAGAAGGACATAAAAGAAAACCAGTTTGCTCTAGTGGTTAAGACACCACACTAGAAACCAGACAACTGTGAGTTCTAGTACCACTTTAATCATGAAAGCCAGTTGGATGACTCTGGGCCAGTCACTCTCAACCTACGACATCAAGATTGAGGAACAATCTGATCATTCAATTCTTGTCATAACTAATGGATCAACACTCTACGGGTAATCTTTGATTTACAACCACAACTGAGCCCAAAATTTCTGTTTTTAAGTAAGACGTTGAGTGAGTTTTGCCCCATTTTATGACCTTTCTTGTCATATTTGTTAGTGAATCACTGGAGTTGTAACATGGTTACTTAGTGAATCTGGCGTCCCCGTTGACTTTGGTTGTCAGAAGGTTGCAGAAGATGATCACATGATCCCAGGACACTGCAACTGCCATAAATGAGCTAGCTGCTGAGTATCCAAACTTTGATCACATGACCATGGGGATGTTGCAAAGGCTGAAAAACAGTCATAAATCATTTTTTTCCAGTGCCGTTTTAACTTTTGTCACTAAATAAAAGATTGTAAGAATAGGATCACTTGTATTGATTTTTTAAAAGCACTTGCAAGAAATAGCCGTGTTGGAACAGTTCAAAGTCAGATTTCTCAGAGTCTCCAACCATATGATTATGAATTATTGCAAATAGGCAACCAAGACATTTTATTTTCCCTGTGCTGATCCCCTTCCACTAGTATTGGGGAGCATCTGAATTCAACCAGAATTAAAAGTGAGCCTTGTATCACTTGATTAGATTCGTTCTTCATGAATTTTCTGTTGCAGCTCCAACCCTGTGGAACGACCTCCCCGTCGAGATCCGTACCCTCACCACCATCCAGACCTTCCGCACAGCCCTTAAGACCTGGCTCTCCCATCAGGCCTGGGGATAGGTTCCCAATTTACCCGCCCGAGTGTTGACTGTTGAATGCAAGTTGTGTCTTATTATTTTATTCTGTTCACATATTGTTTGTCTTTTGGTATTGCACCCCCTTCCCTGCGATTGTAAGCCGCCCTGAGTCCCCTCAGGGAAAAGGGCGGCCTATAAATCCTAATAAAAATGTCTAAAATGTCTAAATGTCTAAATTCAGCCCTCTTTTTAAAGCTATACAAAAAGTGGCCATCACCAGTCTACTGGTAATGAGTTCTAGAGATTAATTACTTGTTCTGTAAAGGAGTTCTTGCCTGTTCTAAAACATCTAAATCAGCATCATCAGATGATACCTTGCCATAATATTTTAAAAAGGAAAAAGTTTCCTGTCTATTTTTTCAATATCTTATCTCAATCATAACTCTACCCTTGGGCCAAGCTGAAATCTAAAATATTCTAATCTTTTCTCACATAAAGAATCTTGCTGATTAGTCATATTTTTGTGTGTCCTTTTGTATTTTTTTGAGTTTATATTTGTACCTTAAATGTGGTGAACAGAACTTGTATACATCATACTAGATGCAGATTTGCAGTAGATCTATATAATGACATTACAAAATTAGCAGTTTTATTTTCAAATTCCTTTCCTAATGATTTCTACTATAGCATTTGCTTTTTTTCATCACTACTGCACACTGATTCTTCACTGAGCTATTTACTATATATCCCAAGATCACTTTACACTTCTTAAATTAAACTGCATTTATCACTTGGTTGACCATTTACCATGCTTAAAGAAGTTCTACTGGAACTTTTCAAATGACTTTTGGATTTTACCATCCTGTATAGCTTCCTATTGTCCACAAACATGATCAGTGCTTAGTTTTAAATCAAATCACTTTACTTTTAAACATTTAGCTATTTTAAATGTTAATCAATCTAAGCATTGACAGTTTATGTACTCATTTGTTAGACTAATATCCTATTTATTCTTCAGGAGCAAAAAGCAGTATAAGCAGCATCCTCTCTAAGCTTTCTGCACAACAGGTAATATTTGCATGATACACTCACAGTTATCTATGTTATGCTTGAATACATTGCCTAACTTTTTTAGTTTGTATGGTATTACTGTGCCATAAACTATCCACAGAGGCTGAGTTCATGTAACATACTCAGTTGATAAATTTGTGAATCAATGTGTCACATGATACAGACACTATCTGGTCACATGAGCTTCTATGCTAAGAATGGATTTGAACCTATATTCTAATCCAATACTTTAATGCTTATAGTCTCTTGTAATCAGATTCCCTTTAATTCAAATCTATACTTTTGACTTATTGGACTTTAACAATGCTGGAACATTTTATTTGCTAAGTTACAAATATGCTAATAAAACATACAAGGGGGGGGGGGCAAAAACATTAAGCAAGATGATGGACAGCATCTATGTTTAAAGAGCTTCTTTGCCATTACTACTGGCAAGTTCAAAACAAGGTCCTCATGATTTCAAAGGCTGCAGAGCACGAGATTGTGGCAGGCAAAACTTTGCAGATTTTTGACAACTTTGTAGTGCTGTCAAGTTAACTACACCTGCTAGTTCTCTTCCAAGGCATATCACAGAAACCACATCTCTTAATCTACAAACCCACTTACCTGTTATCTAAGATAATTTCTGAATAATAACTATGTACATCAACACATAGCTACTGTCCCTTTCAACTGTCTACTTTTCTGCAAAATCATTATTCATTGCACCCATTGAGCATTCCAAAAAGTTTTACACATTTATCGCACCTCGGACTGAAAAGCCAAGGCACTGAATATGGACAGATGTTTAGATTATCAACATGCTTTATATTAAAAGGTTTTCAAGTGCAAATGTAAAGAAACTATACATCCTGTGAACAGGAAAAACTATATAGAAATATTTAAGAATCATCTTGTACAGATTTCTATTCTTCTCAACAGCATTAACTGTGAGATAAAGTTGCTTTAAGCTTACAAAATGTGCAAAACTTATTATTTTACTGATGAGAAAACAGCAAGTTTCTTGCCTATAGCATGCCCAGGTTCGATTCTCATCAAACTTCATCAGAATATAAAGCTGCCTTCTTTAGTCACAGTTATCATATTAGACTGATGAGCTTTAGCATCATTTCACCTTTTACCAATTATTCAACCTAATTCTTTGCCTTCCAGAAAGGGGATCAGGATGAAGACTCTTACCTGTTGGCCTCAGTAAATAACTTCTGCCACTTTGTTCTTTATCAAGATATATAGGAATAAATCAATGACCCGGACAGTATAGTGGGCAGGGATCATTACAGAAACAGAATAAGGTAACATCTCTCCCCACTCTACCATTCTTGGTCCCTTCTACTTGTTTTCCCCTTTGAAAAGCAGCAACAGCACTCACAGCTCACTATTTGGCAGCATCTCTCCGTCTTGCAATCCTTTCCCCCTTACGCAGCTGCACCAGGATCATTATTCCGCAAGGCCCCTGCAGCAACATTATACGCAGGCGCAAGAGAAGAGGGGTGGGAGGAGAAGGAAAGAAAAGCCAGGAAGCTGCAGGATGTGACTGTTCCTCTTTCATTCCCTTCAGCGCAGGCGCAAAGGAGCGGCATGCCACAAACTTTTTGCACCGCATGCGTGCCCTAGAATTAACCTGGACCTCCCTCTCTCCCTCCCACGACGACTTCAGGCAAGGCGCCTGCGCAATCTCTGCCAGCCTTTGAATGAAGGCGCATGGGCTACACTCCGAACGGACGAGACTACATCATAGCGCATGCGCGACCCTCAACCGAGGTTTTTAGCCTTCCGCCCCGCCCCTTCTTCTTGCGTCAGGGCCTTTGGCTCATTATTTTGCAATCAGTTTCGTATCAGCGTTATATATTGCTCCCTTTGTCCCTATGATGTGGTGAGTTATACCTGTCACCCGTTCCATCTCACCTGCAAACGATACGCAGTAGCTGCAGCCGTCCCCTTGTGGTCTCTCCATAACGCCCTGACCTGACACATCCGGGACTTTTAGTGACGTTGCCACGACGCCTCGTTCATTCAACGGCAGACGGGGGAGGAGACTGGGAGGTAGTGCCATTGCGCAGGCGCAAGAGGGATCGATCACACCAAAAACGGCGGGAAAGAAGTAACGTCGAGGCTTCTCTTTAGGGTGATCAACACGCTATTTTGAATAGTACAGGAGATATCAGGAACGAAGGAAAATAATCAAAGGTGGGGTAATGTTTCGGCATTATTATCAAAAGTAGTATTCAACATACCTATTAAAAGCACATTAAAAGATTTTAATGCAAGGGTTGCTATGACGCTGTTACAAATAAGGTGCTCTCCAAATACAATTCATAAACACGTTTTTAATTATCTTCCAATAACATTTCAGATATTGGATGCCAAAGATCATGCTGCCACCGAGAAGTGAAGGGGAACAAAGCAAGATCCTGTCTTCCCTATGGAACAACCTCTACCTGAAAGAGGGCAGTCCCTATGCCATTGGCTTTTGGCAAGGCTGTAAAGACCTGGCTCTTCTCCCAGGAATTTGTGTCTGGATATTAACATCTGTAACTAATAGCTTTGGAGTTTTATTGAACCTTGGTGTATTGTCCTAAATTTTAGGCTTCATTATTAGCATTTTAAAAGGTGATGGTAATTTAAACATGGCTGTCTAAGTCCTTTTTTAAACTTAAGAAAAACATACATTTTTCTTGCATAGTCCTTGCAATCAGAAGCCAATTGTAATAATCTCACGACCTTTTTCCTATAGTCTGACTATGAAACAAAATTAACCCTTTTAAGAGTACTTGAAGAAACATCATTGTTCAGCATTCTGATGAAACTCGTGATTCATTTCATACCAAGGATTGAAAGAATTTTCAAGCGTGCAAAGCTTAATATTAAAAAGTGAAAAAGACTTTAAAGCTATAGCATTTTCCTTTTTGTGAATAAATTTGTCACAGACCTTTGTATTTTTTCTTTAAATATTGCTCAAGTTGGAGTAATAAGCCAAATGAAAACAATTGGATGAACATTACAATACTAATTTGATGCTAATAGAAGATTTGGTATCCAAATGCCGCTACTGTGATACTATGCTATTACAATCACAATCTTTGTTTTATTTAAGAATAAATTTGTCTTTGTTTACCTGTTGAATGGTTTTCTTCAATTCCACATAAACATTCCTACTTGTGTAATAGAGTCATATTCTTTCCCCAGCTGAAAAATGAGGAGGAAAAATTCCTGTGTCCCTGTAGGGCAGGGAAGAGGTTTTGTAGTTACATTATCAATGTTAAGGCATTACTGCTACAGTTGGATCCTGTTTCATGTGAAGCAGTAGTTGCTTAAAAGCTTTGGCTACTGCTGTCCTTTCTGTTCAAATATCAAAAGACTTGGTTATGGGTTTTCCATAAATTAGGTTTTGGGTGTTTGTTTTTTGTTTCTCATGGTTCTCTCCTGAACAGAACCCTTATTACCTTCCTTGGGAGCCTGAATAGCTAAAGTCTTAATTCATGTTTGTTGTATTGCCACAGACAAAACTATCGATATCTTCATTGACTCTATATATGATTTTGATGTTTGGATGCACTTCTCTGTTTTATGAAAGGCAATCACTTTGCTGATCTGAATGCTAATTAATCTTTCCATCTATGTTTAAAGTTATCTCTGCTATTGCTTATGGGAAGTTTTTTTTTTCAGATGCTGGGATTGTCACTTGCAATGTCTTTAGAATAGAGTAGAATACTTTATCGGCCAAGTATGATTGGACACACAAGGAATTTTTCTTCAGTGCATAACCTCTCAGTATACATAAAAGCTATATGTGCATTTTGGTATGGTTCTGCATGGTTCCCAATTTCTCTATACTTTTTTCATCTTCTGACTCACCAATTAAGTGTGAAAGGGCATTGTGGTAATGAAACTGATAGACTGGCTTGTTCCTGGAACCTTTGTGGAAATTTCTAGAAGCTTCTAGCTGAAGTGGGGGTGGGGAGCTGCTTCTCTGCTAGTTCAGTGCAGCCATGACTGAGGAAATGAATTAACTGCCAAGCAGTTTCTATCCTTACAGAAGCAGCACTGAGAGCTGTGGACAGCAATAGGAGCTACAGTTGCCCTGAGTTCCATCAGGGAGGATTTATGCTGCTTAAAATTTCCATCACAATCCAATCTTGGAGAGTGCACTCCAGATTTTTGCTATCCAACCCACTGTCCTTGGGGAAGAAAAAGGTCCTTGGATTCTTCACAGGTGGCGATTGTCAGATTCTTGGAACTTGCAACAAATAATATTTGTGGACTTACTCCTTTTAAAAAAATGGTTTCCTTGGACTTTTGCTTATGTTGCTACTTTTACAATAGTTTTACTTTTCAGCAGGTTCTGATCAGTTCTAGAGAACCGGTAACAAATTTTGAGTAGTTTGAAGAACTGGTAAATACCACCTCTGACTGGTCCCGCCCCCATCTATTCTCTGCCTCCCGAGCCCCAGCTGATCAGGAGGGAGTGAGGATTTTGCAGTAACTTTCCCGTGGAGTGGGGAGGGAATGAAAATTTTACAGTAGCCTTCCCCTGGCATGCCCACCAAATCACATCATGCCCACCAAGCTATGCCCACAGAACCAGCATGTGATTGATAATTCTGGCCTGTAAAATAGAATTGTATTACTTCTTAGAGGTGAAATATCCTCTCTTTCTTGTGCTGTAAGTACTGATTGGTGGGTAAATTACATTATTGCATTTGATTTCAATATACTGTAGTTTTCTGAATATAAGACGCACCAAGATTTTGAAGAGGCAATTTAAAAAAAAAAAAAAGTTTTTGCACTCTGCAAACCTCCCCAAAACAGGCTGTTTTTCACTCATTTCCGCCCTCCCCAATCCCCAGGAGCACTCTGGAAACCTAAAGGTTATGCATGGCCATTTTGATGAAAGAAGTGAGGTTTCAGGAGGCAAAAAAATGCTGTATTCAGTGTGTAAGATGCACCCAGATTTTCAGCCTCTTTTGAGGGAAAAAGGTGAGTCTTATACTCTGAAAAATACGGTAATGCAGGAAAACTCCAATGCCTTAATTTATTTTCAAAGGACATCAGTTGCCTAAATATGCAAAAAATTGTCTTTGTAGAACTAAACAATAGAGAACTTCTGAAAGTCGTGGTATATACTTGCAAGTTTTAAGAAAGATAAAACTCAGCTGGAAAAGATAATTTGTTTCTTGTATATGTTATCTAGAATCATGTTTCCTATTCAAATCTTAATGCAATGAGCATCTTTTACCGTTTGATTATTTGTTTTCTGACTTATCGCATATACCAAATGTACATATTATATATTTCTGTACATTATAAAAAGACTTGGCATCCCCCTTAATAAATGCTTTGCTTGAATTACTTTGTAATTATATATTTTGGGGTGTAAAGTGTCCCTTTGAGTAGGTCACTCAAATTTAGGGTGCCTGAGTTTGGATGCACCAGGTGCAGTTTTTGTTTCAATGAAATTCTGTTTTTATTTTGTTTGATGCCATTTTTGGATCGGGGATGGCCATATAAATTGGATAATATGCAGGAATAGTACAAATTTACACACACACACACACACAAATTTTTTAGCGGAAATGTCTCTGGCAGTGACTTACCTGTACAGCAGTGATTGTCAAGGTTGCTTAGTGAAGTTCTTTAACTAGAACACACCTTGCCTTCCTTTTATGACTGCAATGGGATTTTCAAAGCATGCAAATGAATGTACTTAGTGTGTGCTCTGAATCCAAGCCATGGATTTCCAAATCACAGTTTATGGTGGGGCTACTATATTGACTGCAAATATTCAGAGGATTGTTAGAAGGAAGCAGTGAGTTGAGTTTACAGTATGTATCTGCTGCCATTCACTAACTAGATTTTTGTAATAGTGAAAGCCTCCACTCACTCATGTTTATTTAAATTCATGCTAAATTAAAATATGAAATATACCAGAGTTATATTACTCCATGTCAAAGTAGAATTAAATTATTTTTGTAAAAGTTTACCATTTAAAAATAATTAAATGACAACTGATGGGAAACTGTTTAAAACCTTAAAGACCATTATAGATGGCATCTTCTCACATAGTATTGGAAAGAAAGTTTCAGCTGACAATGGCAACAAAAGAAAATTCAGTCGGATAGGGCAAATTCACCACTTCTTTGCCTGAAAGAGACTCGGAACTCACCATTTCTTAGTTTCTAGGCCAGCATCTTAACCTTTACAATACACCAAATTACATCATTTGCATCACTTTGAATTATTTGCATAATTGACATAAGAGACATCATAGGAGAAATCTGTTAAATGAGAGTACAGTGTTACATGTGTGTGTGTGTGCACGTGTGCACACAAACACAGTATATAACATTTGGAAAAATTGGCATCCTGTGCAAAGTTTTCAAAAATCTGGACAGCAGCATTTTGCGTTAGTTTCCACATCCTATATAACAACAACGTTATATTAAGCACAATGTAGAAATCAATACCCCATATTTCTATGTTATTTATTCCTTGTTTAATTATTTGAATTTAATATATGCCTAAGTACAGAAGCAATTCTATGCTTATTTACTTTGGAATAAGTCTTAGGTAAATACAGGTACTCCTCAACTTACAAAAGTTTATTTAGTGATCATTCAAAGTTACAACGGCACTGAAAAGAGTGACTTATGACCATTTCTCACACTTATAACCGTTGCAGCATCCCCATAGTCATGTGATCAAAATTCAGATGCTAGGCAACTTACTCATATTTATAACAATTTCAGTGTCCTGGGGTCATGGGACAAACCTTTGCAAATTGACAAGCAAAATTAATGGGGAAGCCAGATTCATTTAACAACTACTACTAATTTAACAAGTGCAGTGACTCATATTTATGATGGTTGCAGTGTCTCAGGACTATTCACCTTTGGCAATCACCTGACCACCAAAGTCAATGGGGAAGCCAGATTCACGTAACAACCGTGTTCCTAACTTAACAGCTGTAATGATTCACTTAACAGCTGTGGCAAGGTAGGCCATAAAATGGAGCAAAACTCAACGTAACAAATATTTCACTTAGCAACATAAATTTTGGCCTCAGTTGTGATCATAAGTTGAGAACTACCTGTATGTGGGCAGACTGACAAATCTGATATTTATCTGATTAAGAAGATAAAGACACTCCCAAATTATGTTTGATTCCTGGCAACCATATCCAAACAGTTTTCTTAACATTGTTATGGAAATACTATTCCATTGGGATATTTTTCTTTTCTTTTTTAATGACTCCAGTTCTGACTAAAAGTGTTGAGGAATTGCCAGGCGATCCCAAGTACTAAAGCTTATGCCATTTGTAGTTTATGAGATCTTTCCGATCTGCCTAGTCCTGCAATTTGCTAAGGCTATTTATCTAAATAATTGTCAACAGAGAACCTTGTTATCTTTATTTATAGGATTTTGACAGGACTATAATTGTCATAACCAGAAAAAAATGCTTTCAGTTCAGTAGTGATCAAAGGATGAATTCTTTACCCATATCTGTTTATAGTAATAGAAACTTCTACTGAATACAATGCAACTTGCTTCTATATAGACGTGTGTTGGATTGAGTAATTAGTCATCATGCAACCAGAAAGTTCAAGTGCCATTTTTATACTAAATAATGAAAAATATTTTTGACGTACCCAGTTTTTGTGCTGCACTGCGCCAGTTTTGTACGTTACTGTTTCTGTCTTTTATGGAAGTATTAGAAGTTCATCTGGAATTTAAGTTAGGATTATCAGATTTAAATTTGCTTGATACTAACCTTTTGCTACTCCACAATAAAATGTTACAATAAGACAACTGAGACGTATTTCATTTTTATAAGAATGTATATATGATTTGACTTAAGGCAACCTTCCAAGCTGAATTGTTCCAGAGACTTGAGGAAAAATGATATAATTTCTTCATTATTGGATAATTTGTCACTGGAATCTAATGATGATATGTATCACCAAGTCGTTTTTTGACTTCTGCAGATTACATAGAATTTTTCCATGGTGATTAATCTCTAACCTGTCCTTTCAGGTCTTTCAACAATGTCAACAACAAGGTTATTTATAATCCTCAATCAATTTATTGTTTTGACCATTGGTCAAAATAACCTGCTTAAATGTCAAACATTAATTAAATATAGGAAAATGTTAAAAAAAATCAGTAAAAACACTAAAACAGTACTATACTATTAGAAAACATTGGAAACTTTTGCTAAAGTATTATGTTTAGCAACTGGCTTTGAAACCTTGCTAATTTCCATAGCATTGTCTTGTCTAAGTTCATTGGCTATTCAATTTTTATGAATCAGGCTAAAATTATTTTCTTATCAATGGGAGCTCTAAAATTTTTGACTTGCTGAAACTGAAATAGGACAATGAAATAAATAATCTATAAATTTCCTTGGAGTAAAGGTAGAAGCATATATTATATGGGATTTTGGGAAATCTACTTGCTAATGCCATTTGCTGGAGTTGTAATTTTGTAAGATTTTATTTATATTTATTTTTCTTCTGCTTTCTCAAAAGGTCATTAATGATGTTTACAATAACAATTGTATAATAAATTAAACCATAAAATAACACAGAAGCAAATAGTTGGTTGATTGTATGCCATTAAGTCAGTGTAAGATAAATTATGTATGTGATATGTCCTAAGTTATCTGTGTACCCGTCACCAGTGTAACTTCTTGCTGCTGGTCATTCTTTCCTTCTCTTTCCTGCATCTTTCTCAGCATTAGAACATTCTCCAAAGAGCTAGATCTTTGCATGATGTCCACATTAAGATAATTTGAGCCTAGTCATTTGTTCCTCAAGTAAAAAATCTGAGTTGATTTATGCAATGATGCATTGGTTTGTTTTCTTGTTGTCCATAGTATTCCCAGGAATCTTCACCAAAACCAAACTTCAAAACAGTCTTTCTATTCTGTTATCTCAAAACTTTTGCTTCTATAGACTTACTGGAAATACCGTTGCTTACAATATTCTGATCTTTATAGATCTAGACTCATCACAGCATCTGAATGTCTTTTCCAAAACTTTCATGGCTACTCTGCCAAGTGCTAGTCTGCTGGGTACTTCTTGACCAAGTCAGGCTTATTTTCATTATACAATACAATATAAAGCCAGTATCTATAGTATCTCAGTCTCCATTGAGAATCATTGCAAACAGTATTTAAAAAATGTAAAAATAAAATGATCCCACACAAAGACTTTGCATGTTAAAAATGGAGAAAATGTGTATTTCTACACACGTTGATACAATACATATATCAGAGGGTGCCATATATTGCGAACTTTTAAAGCTACTCATGGTTGTTCAAAAGACAGACTGAGAAGAAGTGATTAACACCTACCTTCCTGACAGCAAAATCCTTGCAAATGCTTGAGGGTAGAACAAGAAGCAATGGGTGGAAACTAATCAAGAAGAGAAGTAATTTAGAACTGAGGAGAAATTTTCTGACAGTTAGAACAATTAATCAGTGGAACAACTTGCCTCCAGAAGTTGTGAATGCCCCAACACTGGAAGTCTTTAAGATGTTGAATAGCCATTTGTCTGAAACGGTATAGGGTTTCCTGCCTAGGCAGGAAAGGCAGGTTGGACTAGAAGACCTCCAAGGTCCCTTCGAACTTTGCTGTTGTATTGTATTATTGTATTAAATAATTTTTGTTTGCTGTACATGAGGTAGGACTAAATAGAGATGGCCTATAGGCCAGTAGGAGAATGACAAGGACCCTTTTCCATACTATATTGGAATTTTCCCCAAAAAAAATTCAGGCTGTGGAACTTTTAGTTAAAAAAGAAAAAAATCCACCTCTCTAAACAAGCAGCAATGAATCCTTATGAATGGAAACAATCAAGAAATGGACATTGGATCAGCTGCTAAATGTTAGGTGACAAGACTGGATGTACTTTTGAGAAACTGCTGTGGACAATTGGTGTCCACATGGGAGCCAACAAAATCTTCTATTTCCTGCTTCCTATCCTGTGACTGGCATTTGTAAATGATCTAAGCAATATGAGGCATGTACTGTAGTTGGTTTGAAAAATTGCAGCAAACTTTGTGAACTTTGACATGTCTCCTGTTATAGCAGTTTGACAGCTTTTTGTGTCCTTAAATTTATTTCCAAATCAATGTCCTTGAAAGCTATAGTATGCATGGGTTTTTAACATCTCCTTCTTAATATTCACTTTCTCTTCAGTTTTTAATTATTTTCTTTCTCCATTTTTCCCTTTCAATTTGCTAAAAACGTAGAAATGTAATTAGATGAACGCTGGGCTGCAAGAAAGCTGCCAGCAGTTCTACATCATGATTAAATATATCAGCCCTTTCTTTACTGACCAAAAAAAAAAAAAAGAATTCAAACAGATTTCTTGCAATTATCTCCCTGTTATCCAGGAAAGAATCAGTAACACGTACAGATAGTCTTATTGAAAATGCAGCACTAATTAAAAACTCATATAAGCTCCTGATGATCAAGGCAATACAAAAACCATAGTTATTTAATTATTTCCTCTATTTGCTAATCTTTGTTTTAGCAAAACAGGAAAAAAAATCCAAACAAAACCACACTGCTTTCACTGGAGGGACTTGATAGGACTTTTATCTATGCAACAGTCAAAACAATGGAAGCTCAATTTGATTCACCTCTTATGGGAAATTTTTGCAGGTTATTTTCTGAAGGTAATCTTAAAAAGGAATGTTTTGCTATATTCAAAAACAGCTTTCAGGAAACATTTTCATTTTAGATACACTTCCCTCCCCATCCTAGTGCTTAATTTCTAAAAAGAGGTGCAATGTAAGCCATATTATAAGTGCCTAAAGGATCTCACCTGTTTTTTTTTACCTTCATATGTTACAAAACTGATGATCAAATAAACCACATATCAGATTAGCTGTACTTTATTTCCATGACATTCCATGCTAATGTCAGATCCACCCTAGACATTTCAAGGATTTACTGTAGGTGTACTTTTACAGAAATTGCAATCTGGATAATCCCATGACATTGGGCAATGGATATTCTGAGTGTTCGGGGAAAGGTTCAATGTCAGAATGACCCATTTGGGGAGCATTCTGTTTACCCTTATTTGCAATGGTTCAGGCAAATTCTGATTTCTCAGATTTTGCTGAACTGTTATTCTCAGTATCCTTTACTGTCAACTACAATGAGAGGATTTGCTGGGAGTCAAAGTTCTTCAACTTTTGCAGTGCTGTAGCTGCACTGACTGATGATAGATCTTCTGGATTTCAGAATGAAATTGTTCCCAATCCTATCTGCTAGAAATTGAATAAAAGTTCTGCTGTATCTAAAAAGTTTTTTCATTTTCATTGTTGCTAAAAGTAGCCCTTTGATAAAAACTATTATTCCCTTTAGCCCAAATACAGTTATTTTTAATATTGCAGTTATTTTCTATTTTAGTTTTGTTTCACTAACCCAGACATTTTACAGGTTGATTAGTCAATCTGTACAAATATTGTAATTAATATGTTTAATATGTTTATGTGCAAGTACACACACACACACACATACATACAAACTCCAAACCTTGGAGGAATTATTTTGCATAATATAGCCCACAACATATTTTCAAAATTCCAAATGTGCCTACCAGCCAACTAAATTTAGGGAATATTAGACTGAGTTGACTCAGACTAATGTTTTTATAAATGTCTTCGTTCATAAATGTGGCTTTGATCCCCAAAGGTTAAGCAGGATCAGATCTGTTAGGATTTGAAAGAGAATCTACTAGAGAAAAATAAAATGGAAAGGTTAAAAGATAGCTTTTACGAGAAGACTATTGCTTTATCCCTGTAATTACCAGTAGTTGGGCATGATTTGAAAGAATATTTTTTTAGAGTTCACTTGAAATTTATGCCAATGACTCCGAAAATAACAGGAAGATATGGGAAATTGTGCACTTTTTTGATTAAAAATAGATTGATATGAATCTGAAAGGATTCCCATTTTCTATCAATTATAATATTTTCTAGAGGTTGCTTTTTGTATTTCAACAAGTATTTAGAGGTAAGGGTTTCATTTAAAAAGCTAATTAGAAATTTGGAATAGTCTACATGCTCAACTTTCCTTTTTTCTCTTTTGTAAAGTAAAATAACTTTTAATTTTAGTAATGTAATTATATAACAATCTGAGATTAATTTTATATCATAGTAACATTGCATTCTTTTTTTATCCATTACAGCAATGTTTAAGAAACATGTGGCCAAAACATATTATCAATTAATGGTTTGACTTATCATGTGTGAAGGCAATCAATACCTATCTACTATAAAATCCATTTTCACAACTGAGTCTATCAATATTAAAGCAAGAAAGTAGCAAAAAAATTGCAAGACAGAGCCCCAAACTAGATTTTCACACTATGCAAGATTATAATATGGTTTATTTGGCTTTGGGTCAGTATATTGTGAATGTAACTTTTGTGATTCATTCAGAAAACCATTGTTTTCATGCGAGAGATAGAAATTCACATTAAAGAATCGGTAACTGGATTTACACATTGCACAAAGCTAGGACCAAACACTGCAGAGGTGGGTTCCTACCAGTTCGCACCTATTCGGTAGAACCGGTTCGTCAAATCTACCAAACCAGTTGGAAGAGGTTCCAAATTTTTTTGAAACCCACCACTGGTCCTTGGATATGATTATTCTACACTATCATGCTCATATTTATAAAACTCAGTGCCTCTGTGAAAGGCAAGGATGACTACTGCGTTTGTGGTGCAATAAGAACATTGCGTGTATTGAAGTTGTTTTAACGCAAACCAAAGATGCCTTTTAAAAAACAAGTTTACATCATATTCTTATGCATGCCAGTGCTGTGTGTGAGGTAATTTAAGGTGGTTCATAAAAGTGTCATCAGCATCTTCATATCTGGTCACATGGGCGGCAAGCCACTCCCACAAAAGAGGCCACACCCACAGAGTAGGTTCGAATGATTTTTGAAACCCACCACTGAATCACTGGTCTTGAATCCAGGTTCAAAACTCAGTTGGGCATGTTTGCAAATTTGCTGAATATAACTTAGTATTAAGAGTAAAAAGAATATCAGTGCTGTTGGTGGAACACATTATTTTTAGCGGATATGATTTGCTAATTCCATCCTCTCCAAATAATATACCAGGCACCTTCTGTGGATTTTTTTTTCAAAAGAGAAAAGTGGGGAGGTGTGGGGAGGGGGGAATACAAGCATATTTGTTTTCTAGCAGGCTATTTGCTTAACCATAACTAGCTAGCATTCTGGGTCAGACAAGGTATAGACCTATGCTTGATTGATTAAGCCATGTCATTTCTACTGATTAGGGTCTGGGCATTCTGTATTAACACAATCTTGAGGAAGCTATAGATTTAGTTTATGGACAAAACCCATTAACAATGCAATATAGGTATAGCCATTCTTTCAATCTGTATGTTGAACTAGTCTATGCTGAGTGGATGGCAGGATTCATTGAGTTACTGTTTATTTAAAGCATGGGTGCTTTGAACCCCTCCTTTACCACACACTTGAATTAATCCTGCTGAGCCCAAGCCACAAGCACTGATGAAAAGGGCGGTGAGCACAGTGAGCAAACATCTTATTAAACCATCAAGGTCAGCATTTCCAACTGTGGAACTTTGCATTGCAGATGCTAAGATTAAAATGTCTAGAACGTATTGCCTGCAGGCATGGCAAGAGATGAAACTGGCTTTGTTAAATTGACCCGTGAGAAATTTGGGTTCTTTATTTTTATCATGTTTAATATGATCTGGGGATTTTAATTGGCTGTGGTTCAGATGAAACCTTTAGGTACACCTATGGGTTGCAGACATTGAAGAATATTTTTTGAGAGAAATGAAAATTATACTTTAAAATGTGTAATTCTGAGGCATTAATTCTTATGCCTCAGAGTCTGTTTCTTGTTTCTCGTTAGAAGCATCTTTATCCTCAGTTCCCTGGTGAGCCTGTCTCTTGTTTTCAGTGGCTAGTTGCCTTGAAGATATGTTTGATCCTACATTCATTAAAATTTGATCCTGCTGCTTCCCAACAGCCTTAATGATATGTGAAATTATTTCCTTTCGCCCCCCCCCCCCCCCCTGAAAGATACCACTAACTCGGTCACTGTCCACAGGGCCAAGGAACACAACGAACATGTGCTTGCTCACTCATGCATACCGTACTGTACTTGTCAAAAGCCTCCCTGATTTATTCAAATCTGCTTTCCACCACAGAAAGAGAAATTAATCTTCGGACTTATCTGGGCAATTTGCTTTCCACAAAGGAGAAGCAGAAGATGACTGGAAGTAGTCTGAAGGCTTTTATTGGGAAGTTTTCTTTCCATCCAGAGCAGGATAATTGGCCAAAAAGCATGGTAGTTGAAGAAAAGGGTGATCTATCTAGTATGACAAGTGGCAAGAAATAATGAAAGCACAACACTTACCGCTGCCGCCACAGCAACAAATGAAGACAAGGAAAAAGTATGCCATAATGGAAGGACAGATGATGAATGAACGAAGACATGAATGGTGCAAGCTGGAGACAGCTACTACTTTGCAGATGCCAGGGAATGAAAGAGAAGCATGTTTATAAAAGCAACATTTATTTTAAAAGCTGTGTACCCAGAGTATTATTAAGGATTACAGAGCAATTTGCAAGCCACATGCCTCTGCAAGAAAGATACCTTAGATACCTTCCAGAATATATTCTACTGTATCTGCTGCGTAACTAAATCTCATTGCTTCCATTCCTTTCTAAAAGGACTATATATGATGCATATAATAACATGAAATATGTTCAACCTTCATATTATGTTATGGTCAGCTTAACCATGGTTTACTGAATCACCAATGCTTGGCTGAGTTTACATGGCATAGCTGTCAACAGTGTTTACAAACAACAGGGTATAACATATCCTTAAACCAAAACCAACAGATCCCTTGTATTCTTTTTATACATACCTTCAACTAACTTGTTGCATACTCGGGAGTTATAGTTTGACAACATCTGGAGAGGTACTGATTCATTCTGCCTCTAATTTGCTCCATGGTAACGTTTTACAAGATGCTTTGCTCCCTCAATGCAAAAGAGGAAAGGAAAAAAGTTAGGGTTATTATTTAGCAGCAAGGGAAATGTCAAGTGTAATCCTTGGATTGCTTACATAGAAATGTGTTGGGTTTTATGAGCTTTATTTTCAGTGAAGCATGTTTCAGATTAAATATTCCAAAGCATTATTATTATTTTCTTCCACACTAAGTGATACCATAGCCTTTATTCTTTTCATTTATTGAAATAATTTGATAATTGGTGAAGCCATATGTTTTGATGATGATTATATGGTTTTTGACTGCCTCCTTCCTCCTCATCTGTAAATAATAGTGAAAGTATCACTGCCTGGTGATTTACCCATTCTGTTTGGAAACATGGTTTGAGACTACTGGAAGAGACAAGCAATCAATAATAGCAACTGGCAGAGGAGGCTACACTTGAAAATTGGATCTGGTTAAGGTATATGGTAGGAAAATTGTAACCAAATTGTTTGGGCAGATAAGCAGAAAAAATCCACAAGCCAAAACAAACAAATAGGATTCAAAAATTTTACACCCAGTCAAGACAGCTGTCTATCATTACATCTGTTCTGTCCTTTAAAAAATATTAGCTTAGTGTAGTGATTAAAAATGCTGATCTAGAAACTTGGAGAGTGTGAGTTCTGCCCACTTAGGCATGAAAGTTGGCTGGGTGACTTGGCCAGTCATTTTCTCTCAGCCCAACAACACCTCAAAGTCTATTATTGTGAGGAAAATAGAACGAGGAAGGAGTATTATGTATCTTCATCACCCTAGGGTGTTTATAAAGTAATAGAGGCAGGATAAAAATCTAATAAATAAAATTACAGAAAATAAATGTGTAGATTGCTACTAAGTATAATTATGTTTTTCGTTGACTGTTTGTGAACACACGTCATAATGAACATGCTTAAATTACAATATATACTTTTAACAATAAGTCTCAGTGAAAACAGGAAAAGTTTCCTGAGGGGGGAAAAATTACAGAAAGTCTACTCATACTGCTTATTCTCAGGTTTTTTTTTTACCTTTAGATGCACCCATAATTAAACTTGTAACATGACTATTTGATTGTCACTGGGTTATGAGAAAAATGCCATTGGGCAGTGTGGGCAGTATTTTCCTAGGTTGTACCTGATTTAATGAAACTATGTATTTCTTCCTGAAATTAAATGAACAAAAATAATTACAACTTTTCTCCAAAGGTTTCTACAGCATTTTGGTCAGCAAACATTCTTTCTGGAATCTTCTTAGCATGTTGTGAATATCATTTCCTCGCCAATAGGCATTCCCAATATAACATCCACTTGTCTGCAGAGAAAATCCAAGTCCTTAAGTGGGGGTCCACTCTTGATCATTTGCAAAGTCAGATTGCCCAGCTCTTCCCTGTGTTGGAGATAGGAAAAGTAAAAGTTTAGTCTTTTGAAAAACAAAGGACAGAAGTCTATGAATTGGGTCTATGGAAGGGTTTGGTTCATTGTTCTCCCCAGCAGCTGATTAAAATGGAATTTTTCCAAAACCTGGAAGAAGTCCATATAAATGGAGCATAAAAGATTCTGCTTCAAAAGATTGCTGTTTGGAAAACTAATCTAGCTAATATTTCCATTTTCTTTCTTTCATTTTTCTATGTGTTGGTTTCTATTTCCTTTTGCAGCAGAGAATAATAGTATGTGCTTTCAACCAATATTGCATAATTCATTTTCATGATTTTATTTTTAGAAAACTTGGAATCATATATTTTTCTTAGACTCTCTCTGTACTCTTATATTCTAATTTGAGAACTCTGCAATTTTTTATCCTTTAATCTCACTGCCCCCCCCCCTTTTTTTTGAGCTATTCTGTATTATTTACCTTTCATCAGTGAAGTTGTCACCACTGGTTAAATTTAAATTTTAACAAATTTAACTTTAAAAGGACTTTTATCTTTTTGAAGATATTTTTGAAGTTTTTAAAATTTTGCATGTCTCTTGTGATATTGGGCTATCTCCCAAGGGTAGCAGGGAGGAATCTTCTAGCCAGTTGACATACTGGAATTGATTCATTTCTTACATTTGTGTGTGTATGCGCGTGCGCATGTGCATGTGTGGGCGTGTACATGTGCCTTTAAGTATTGACTCCTAGTGACTGCCTGGGCTAGTTCTTGTAGTTATCTTGATAAAATTTTGGGAGTGGTTTTGCCTCTTTCCTACAGCAGACAAAGTGACTGGCTCAAGATCACCCAGCTGGACTAGAACTTGTGGCTTCTTATTTCCTAGCCTCATGCCTTAGCCACTTCATCAAACTGGGTGTACTTCAGAGGTAGGTTCCTACCAGTTTGGACCGGTTTGGCCAAGTAGGTAGTAACTCAGCCTGCCACGTCCCTGGACAAGTTCTCCCCATAGGCGCCACCATCATGTTTTTTTGCTTCTGAGCCTGTGCAGAAGCATTTATTTAGTACTGCACATGTGCGGGCAGCGCATCCCTGAGCAAACCGGCAGTAACAGCAGCTGGAAACCACCCCTGGTGTACTTACATTGTAATTGCCAAGAAAACAGAAGGAAGTGCTCTCTCATGCACACCGGATGTAGTGGAAAGATGGAAGGTTCCAGAGGGCTATTGAGATTTCACCTTCCACTTTAAGGACACAGCCATTCTGGTACTCTGGACTATTGCTTTAAGCGCCATGATAATGCAACAATTAATTTAAGCAATAAAGTACCCACAGCACAGGCCTTCACTTACAAGCAGTTTGATCACTAAATGAGGCAGACATTAAATGAGACATGCCCAATTTTATTTCCTTTTGGTTGCTGTTGGTAAACGAATTGTTAAAAGAATCATAAGGGGGTTAAACAAATTTGGCTTCCCCAATTGACTTCACTTGTTAGAAGTCAGATCGAAAAATCATAAATGTCAATTACTTGTCCCAAGGACACTGTAGCCATCAAAAATGTACAGGCCAGTTGCCAAAAGCCCAAATTTTGATCATGTTACCATGGAGACACTGCAACAGTCCTAAATATGAGAACCAGTTATAAATCATGTTTTTCACCGTCATTATAATATTGAATAGTCAATAATTGAATGGCTCTATAAGTTGAGAACTACCTATATAAACCAGTTTCTTGCTACGGATCTTAAAAACAAAATGAGAAAATACAAGAGCACAAGGGCTGTTTTTAGTCCAACAACAGGGGAAAACTATTGAGTGTACAGGTAGTCCTTGAGGTACAACCTTAATGGGGTCTGCTCATTAAGGTCGCAAGTCAAAAACTTTATAAAATGAATTACACTAATTTTTATGACATTTTTTTATCACGCTCATTAAGCAAATCAATGGGGCTTGCTGTTTGCTTCAGTTTGTTAAATGACCTCTGCCATCATTAAATGAACTGAGAAGCTAGAGAATTTGCAGGGGTCTCCAGCTGGAGCCTGTGGAGGGAATGTTGCCAACCACGCATCAGCTCTACTGGCAAGGCCAGGCAGCTCTCTGCCTCCAAGCAGTGCTCAGTCATAAGTGTGTGTGTGTGTGTGTGTGTGTGTGTGCGTGTGTGTGCACACGAAGTGTGTCAGTGAGAATTTGCAGATCTCCAGGTGGAGCTTCTGGAGGGAACCACTGCCATCCGCCCATCAACTGTTCTATAAGCAATCTGTAGCAATACACTAATTCCCAAAGCAAAAGCAAATAAGCACAGCACAGTAGAATGCAAGGATCTTTCTGCAAGCAATTTCGAACTACATGCAAACAAACAGTCCCAAAGATGCTTTTTCAGGATGCCTTTTCCAGAAAAAAACAAGAAAGTCCAGTTGCCCCCTGAAAAGGCACCTTTGGGACAACTATGACGTGGGTGACTAAGAATCTCTACAGACTTTTATGCAAATAAACAGTACAGTACAGGGGTGGGTTCTGGCCAGCTTTCTGCCGGTTCGCTCATGTTCATGCGTTACACGTACTTGCGCATGCGCAGTTCAATTAAACTTGTTCTGTGCATTCACAGAACTCAAAAACAAGATGGCAGTGATGGGGAACCAGGGGTGTGTGGTAGGTCTGAGTAGCTGCTGGTTCCAGTGATCCAGGCAGCCATACCACTATCAGGTCGGCCAAACCGAGGTGAACTGGTAGGAACCCACCTCTGGTACAGTAGAATGCAAAGTAATTTTACAGTATTAAATCTGCTTTCTGTTGATGCTGGCTAGTAGTGCTGCAAGCAATCCCAAAGCAAACACAAACGAACACAGTAATGAAAAAAGTAAAGTACTTACAAACAAACAAAGCAGTTTATAAAGAACTGGCAAACAAACAGTACTATAAGAAAAGAAAAAGAAAAATCTAAGGTACTTACAAAGGCAACTAGCAGTGCTCCAGTTCTCAAGGCAACAACTACAAAACAAGCCACAAGGCAGAAATGAAAGATTTAGTCCTCTAATCCTCCACCTGGGAGTAATGAGGAGTGGAAAAAAAAATGAGGCCTGCTGGAACTTGACTGTCATATGACCGGGGTGGGTGGGTTGGGGGAACATGCACCATATGGACCTCAGAAATTACCTGTTGGAACAGTGGGCAACAAAGAACAGTTACGAGAAAACAAACCGGCCACTGCTTCAGGAGTGACTGAATCCAGGTCCCATGACTGCAGGGGCCTCTTGTGGTCGCAATTTTGAACCCTTGTTGTAAGTACATTTTGGGAACACATTTGTAACTTCAAACAGTTGTTAAATGGCTGTTCGGATCTTGAGGAACCCCTGTAACAAATTCACTGTGCTTGAATATATCTAGTATATTATATAGCAAAAGCCTTGTCCTCCTGCTATATGATTTTATCAAATAAAATGAACTCTTTAATATGGTCTTAGACCAACATAAGGTAGGGGGAATATAGTAGTTAAAAACATAAAAGATGCATCAAGAATAAAAACAAAAATCTAGAATATTATGAAAAACTAGATGCTATAAAGGATACATAAATTAAAGACAAAAGAAAGGGTTGGGATTTACCGTAAATGGGTTTGTGGAGCA